AAAGACAAAGTTGCAACTTTCTCAGTCCTTGAGTAGTTTCTCTACCTGTTGGATAAGGAATTTCCACCACATTCTTGGTGTCAGAAGTGGGATCTGTCATGCCAGAAGGGCTCCGTGGCAGAGGACAAGAGCAGTCGGCCATCCTGAAGGCTGAAACCAGCTTCAGTCCACCTATGTTAAAAGGAGGCCAGGTTCTGGATCCTTCTCCAGATTTGTGTCTCAAGACAATCCTGTCACAGAGGTCTAGAGATGATTCCTTTGGATTTGATGCTGGCTGCTCTGTGTTTTGCCTTTTTTGGAAACAATTAGAAAGCTTCTGCAGTCTGAATGATCTTCCAGTGTAGGGGTAGTGATGCGACACTTCGACGGACCCTGTTCGGCTCTTGGATACTGAAATTTCCTACACTCACTGAAGGTAGCATTGACAAAAGTATAACGGTGCAGCGCAGGATGTGAAATGTTAAGCTAGTGCTACAGATCTGCAGCAGTTTCAGTCTAAGAGGAGAGACTTGAGGTCAGAGGTGATAGACTGAAGCTGAATCATTTAAGAATAAAATCTGTTTCCATGGTAACGGCTTTCCTCAACAGGTCTCTGCATTTTTCTGCATAATTTCATGTCGATGCACTTTGCGCTGCATCAATGCTCAGAGGATTGTGGCACAGAGGTGGGACTGAAGCAGAGCAAGCTGCTGCTACTGCGGCGCAAATAAGATAGAAACAAGTCAGAGTTTTCGCAGCAGGTTCTGGTGCCACTCAGGGGAAAAGCAAACCCGTTCTGATGACATGAACACAATCAATGCCGTACACATCACAGTGACGCGTAGAGCGGCAGGGTCATGGATTTCAGATATGGAGTCACTTTAACGGCAAAAAGTACAAGAGAAACAGAACGAAAGTGAGAAAAATCAAAAAGAAACAGAGACTCCTATGTTAGTTTAAATTAACGATATTTAATAATTTGTATTAACGCTTGTTTATGTTTGTATTAGTGTCATGATCCGTGTTTTTCTGTATAGTTATTTTGGGATTTTCTGTGTTTAGTCCTGTTTCCCCGAGTCTCTGTGTTGTCATCTCAGCCCTTGATTGTTCCCAGGTGTGTCTCGTTCCCTTGATTACCCCGTGTGTATTTGAGTCCACCTGTTTTCTCTGTCTGTCGGGTCCTCGTCCATTGTAGTTTTCAGTTCAGTTTCTCAGTAGAACTGTTAGTCCTGAGTTTCTGATTATTTCGTCGTTACAGCAGAACTGCTTAAGTCCTGTGTCTGTTGCTCAGCCTATTGCTACCAGTGTTGGCTTTATCTTCCGCTCGCTGTGCTGCCTACTTTTTTGATTGTTCGACCTGCTGCCTTCATTAAATTCATCATCTTCATCTGGGTTCCTGCGCTCATTCTCACCACCATCAACCACAACTCCTGACAATTAGGGCTGAAACCATTCCTCGAGTGATTCGAGTACCTCGATTATTAAAAGGAAAATTTACCTGCCTCGAAGCTTCGTTAAATTATGTTTTATTATTTAGCCACCATGTTCCGGCCGGGTCATTACTTGCATTGCACAGCGCTCTCACTTCCGCCTCCGAGTTGTTGACGAAAGCCAAGTGTTAGCAGCATAACGTCCAATTTTCAAGCTCGGCCCGTGGGGATTTTACCGATTGATAATTTCGTGTTTTCATCGTTTTTGGGGGACCAATAAACATCCTTAATATGACGGGAGCGATACCGGGAGTTCGGCAGCCTTTCTGCTGCTGGTTCAGAGCAACGGCGGGAAGAAGCTGAGGAGGATTTATACAGGTTAGCGGATAGACTGAACACAGTGTTGATGCTTACAGTGCAAGAGCAGCTTTACTAACGAACCGCACTATTCTATGTATACAGAGTTGCATAGAATAGTAGATATAGAAATATTACCTATTGCCATTTCTCACCATGCACTGGTCTTATTAAAATGGCACATAGAGTTTCTTGCAAAATATTATATACGAACACCGATACCTGTAATAACCAAGAGCTCACAGATTTTGAAAACAACAAAGTTGAGCCCCTTAACGGATGAGGCGGCTTTAAAGTTCAATCGACCGATTGAGGAATGGGAGATCAAGCAGGTAATTAAATCGCTTAACAACAAAAGTCCAGGCCCAGATGGATTTGCCAACAACTTTTATAGATCTTCTGGCTCCCTTGCTATTAAAAGCATATCATGCTTTAAAATCCAAAACTATGATACCATCTTTGTCATAATGGGTTCTAGTGAACGTACCCACATGTAAGAACACAACCAGTAGAGCGAATCACAATAATAAAGTTTAATAAAGAGAAGTGGTGGGGAAGTTCTGGATACGGGGTTGGGACTGCAAGGTCATCAACTGTTAAATGAGAGGATAGATGTGAGTAACAGTCGGTAGCAGAAAGATCATGCAGAGATAGTCGGTGAATCTTACTTGGGAATGGGGGTGAAATGGGTTTGATTGTTGCCTGAGGTTGCTACTGAAGACGGAGGTCCAGAGCTCGCTAATCCAGCGAGCGGTGCACGTTGGAGGACGGACAGGTAAGAGAGGCTGTAGCGGACGGCTGGCAAACGGAGAGCTCGATACATCCAAGGGCGAGGGTACTGGTTTCCAACAGGTAATACCTGAGGCGTCAGAGGGGGTAACGGTTCCTCGGGAGGCTGATCGGAGCGGAGACCGCTTGGAGACTTGGCTTCCGACAGATCGGACTTGAGACGACGAGGAAAAACTCGCTGAAGGTTCCAGGAGACTTGAATCCACAGACTACACACTGGGAGACGGCAGAAAACCTGACGAGAGGAAAACACAACGGGAGATCACTCAGGAGAATAACTCAGAGGGCCTAGCTCAGAGATAGTTTACCATTCTAGGTTAAACACTCAGGCACCGGAGTGTTTGCCAGCCGCAGCATAAATACTCCACTTCAGCCCTCTTCAAATTAGCCACAGGTGCATCAACAGGGTCTGCCACCGCATGTTCCAGGGGCTCAGCCCATCGAGGACCTCTGGTGGATGGTGAGGAAACAGCAGGCAACAAAACAAAACCCAAAGCCAAGACTACAAAAAAAACAAAACAAAAAAAAACTCTAATCCCAACAATCTTGGACAGAAGCCACAATAGTAAACCACAAAGAGGGTAAGGATCCTACAGACCGCCAGTCCTATAGACCTAAGTCACTGTTGAACATAGATCTAGACAAGGAATAAACAAGGAAGTACACAAAGTGTCATAGTATGCTGATGATGTATTATTGCATTTGATGGAACCTAAATCAACAATCTGCCACCTAAAAGAGCTCTTCTCACAATATGGATTTTATTCAGGCTACAATATAGAAAAAACGGAGGCTACAGATGTAAACGGCACCATTTCAGATTCCACAAAACTACAGAGCGGATTCAAGTGGCAAAAGAACGGCATCAGATATCTGGGTATTCATATACCTCCACCTTTATGAGGCAGACTAGAGTAAACTTCTACAAGCCATTAAAAAATGATTTGCAGCGATGGGCTACACTCCCTATTTCTCTGATGGGTCGGTTGAAAGTATCCATATGAATGTTTTACCAAGACTACTCTATGTATTCCAGATGCTGCCTGTGGAGATTCCCAAATCTACCTTTGATAACTTAGATAAATGATATCTGGATTCATTTGGCAAAAAAACGCCCTAGAATCAGACTGAAACCTCTGCAGTTATCTGAACCCAAGGGGGGGCCTTAAAGTCCCAAACTTAAAATTGTATTCCTGGGCTGCACAACTTAAACCCTTATTAGTATGGCTACAGAACAGTGCAGATACTCAATGTGCTCAGTGCCACCGCAAACATTACCTTTCTTAGATGCTGCTGCAAAATAAATGACAATCTGGACAAAAAACACCCTCAAAATCTGGAACAAAATACAATCGGGTTTTATGTTATTAAAACAGGTCTCACTTTTATCAAGTATAGGATTTATGAAGACTTTTTTACCAAACAAGCTAGATTCTGGGTTCAGACCCTGGTCTAATTATGGATGATCTCATATCCATCAGTTAATTAAAGAGGGGATTTTCAAAACCTTTGAGCAGAAGAAAAGTGAATTTGGTCTCCGTCAGACAGACATCTGTAGATATTTACAACTCAGAACCTTTGTGACAACACATAGCAACTGCACTAAACGTCATGAACCTACACTTATAGAAAGTTTTCTAATGGACATATAAGGAGGAAAGGGAAACAATAAAGTTATTAGTAAAGTATATGATCTGCTTCTCTCTATGAATATGCATGATTCCTCAAACATAAAGCAGAATTGGGAGACTGAACTGCAGGAGTTAATAGCAGGGGAATCATGGGAAGAAATATGTACTGAAGCACAATTAGCCACAAATTCTAATACTGGCTGATGCTCTGTTAAGAAAGTGATGTACTATAAAAAACTGTGCTACATAGACTAATTTCAATCAAATCATGATTATTATATCTAAAGAAAAAAGCCCTACTGATTAAGTTATATATTGATTAAACCATGAGTCTAAATCTAACCTAAACGGAGGTCTACTAAAAACTAGCATAATTAAACTAATATCTCCAACATTAGAAAGTTGATTCTCTGCTGAAAAATGTCTGTATTCATGTGTGATTTGGATCATCATCCTGCGGTGAGACCTAATAACGACCCATCTGCAGTATTCTGGTCGGGGTCAACAGATTTTTAACTAAAGATGCTCTGGTGTTTCAGAGGTTTATGATCACAAACATTCTTACCAGGTTTCATTAGGTGTCCAGTATTTGTGACACTAGTGAATTTGTTCAAACCAGGTGGTTCAGAGTTTGTGAAAACTGTTCATACTTCATAGATTTTTATTACTTTACTGATGCACTGATATCCTGATGATTTTCAGCATGAAGTTATAGCTGAGATTTAGAACCATTACCAATTAGTTTAGAAGCTGCTGCTTAAAGGCAATGTTGACATATTTTAAATAAAAGAATAAAATCAATCAGTTTTCAGTGAAATAAATGTTTATTAAAGTGATCAAATGAAGTGAAATCAGGTTCTTCCAGCAGTGATGTCATCGAGGCTTAACATCCAGGGGGAAGTGACATCACCAGCAGGAAACCCATATGGGCGTTTAAAAGTCATGAGAAGGTTACAGAGGTCTGGCACAGATGAAGTAGAACTTCAGGCTACAGAGATTATCATTCACATGATCTTGTCCTGTAAAGAGACAAAGAGACAAATCCTGACTGCAAACCTTGGACATGATTTGATCCCTTACAGAAAGCATGAGGGCAGATGAAGTGTCTTGCCCAAGACAACAGACATGAATGGAGTGGGGGTTCGAACCAGGAACCCAAAGATTACAGGACAAACTCCTACCTACTAAGCCACCAGATACAAAGGTATTATTAAAACATGCATTTAAACTAAATTATAAAATTACAAGTTGTGATTTCCCAGTAATAAATACCATTATAGTTGATGTCCATGCAGTCTTCGTTTCCCCTGCCGTTGTTTGGCTCACCAGGGCCCCAGTGATGAAACAAAAACTTGGAACCGTCACTCCAAAACCAGAAGCCTTCCTGAAAGAACATCTTAGTTTTAAGCTCCTTTACAAACAAATCACACAGAACCAACCTAGACTTCAGTCACTCATTGTAGAAAATGTGAACTGTGTTTGGATCATTTCTATTTAAAACCCTCAGCTGGTCAGAGCAGC